CCGGGAGGATATGGCTGCCCTGGAGAAGGATTACGAGGAGGTGGGGGCTGACAGCATGGAGGGTGATGATGAGGGGGCGGAATACTAGTGCCTTGTCTCTTGTGTTTCACTGTGGTGCTGTTCATTAAAATGGCTCTTTCCACTCCTGCCTCGTTCTTTGTGCTGGGACAATCTGCCTCGTGGTGACCTGGGGGGACGTCCCAGGGGAGGGGGGCCCTGGCTGGGCCGGCTGCCTGGCTGTGCTGCCAGCTGGCACAGGGGCTGTGCCGGGGGACGCTGGGGAGTTGTGTGTGGCTGGGTCCTGTGCTGTGAGCTGGCTGCTGTGAGCCCTGCTGGGCCGTTTGCCACGCAGTCTTGATGTCCCCCTCCCCGTTCTGCTGTCCCTGGGGGATGCCAAGGGGGGAGGATGCCCCCTGTGTGTGGGTAGGACCCAGCCCTGGTGCAGACAGGCTGGGCTGGACGTGGTGCCGGGCTGCTCCTGGCACGGAGCCACTCTCAGTGCGGTGCTCTGCAGAGCTGGGAGGGGGGTCCTGGGCGGGAGCGACCCCCCCCTACAGCCCCTGGACAGGGCACTGACTCCTTCCCGTAAGTGCCGCCCTCGCTGCCCGGAAAGGGGGGGTCGGGGGGGGTCCGAGCCCGTTGTCCGGCGCTGCCCGCACATGGCGGCTCCCGCAGAGCCGAGTCACGGCTGCCCCGGCACAGCGGGGAGGGACCGGCCCCCCCTCCGTGCGTGCTGAGCATCCCGGGCAGGCCGGGACCCAGCTGGGATGGGGGCTCTGCCCGAGCCCTGCAGCCCCCCCGCCCCTCCCTGCTTCCCAGCTGGGGGGTCTGCTCCTGCTGCCTGGGGGGGACCCCACGGGCTCCCTCTGCCCCCGTCGGGGGTCCGTGTCTCCCGAGCACCCCCGGCTCCTCTCCCCCCCACACCTGATGCTGCACCCTCGAGACGGGACCCACCAGTCCCCCTCCCCGCACCCCCGGGGGGTCTCCTGGCCCCTACGAAGGGGAACGCCTGCAGCCCCCCGTCCCGCAGCCGCTCTCCCCGCCCCCGGGAGGGGACATCCGCAGCCCCCGGTCCTCCCCCCGACCGGGAGACCCCTCCCCTCTCCTCCGTACCCCCGGGTGCCCCCAGCGGGGCGGAGCCGCCGTCCGCTATAAACAGCCGGTACCGGCGGCCGCCGCCCTCCCGGTGGCACCATGAGCCGCCGCGACCGCGACCCCCGGGCGTCGCCGCCCCTCACCGCGGCCCCGGGGCGGTTGGCGGCGGCGGCGGCGGCGCGGGGCGCGGAGCGGGAGGAACTGGCGGCGCTGAACGATCGTTTCGCCGCTTTCCTGGAGCGGGTGCGGGCGCTGGAGCGGCAGAACGGGACCCTCCGCGCCGCCCTGGGCCGCGCCGCCGCCGCCACCGGGCCCCGCACCGGGCTGGTGCAGGGGGAGCTGCGGGGGCTGCGGGAGCGGCTGGAGCGCCTCGGCCGCGACCGGGACCGGCTCCAGGCCGAGCGGGACGGGCTCGCCACCGACCTGGCGGCCCTGCGGCAGCGGTGGGCGGGCGGCGGGGCCGGGGGAGGCAGCGGGATGGGGACCGGGGATGCGCCGGGATGAGGGATGTGCCGGGACGTGGAGCGGGGATGAGTCGGGATGAGGGATGTAGCGGGAAATGTGCCAGAGAGGGACCCGGGGATGTGCCGGGATGAGGGATGTGCCGGGATGAGGGATGTGCCGGGATGAGGGATGTGCCGGGATGGGGACAGGGGATGAGTCGGGATGAGGGATGCTTGGGATGGGGACTGGGGAATGTGCCAGAGAGGGATCGGGGGATGAGCTGGGATGAGGGATGTCATGGAATGAGGGATGTGATGGGATGAGAGCTGCATCAGGGTGGGGACTGGGGAATGCACCGGGATGAGGGATGTGCTGGGACCAGAGGATGCACCGGGATGGGGATGGATGAGCCCCGGGGATGCCAGAGTGGGGACTGGAGGATGTCCCCCGTGTACTGGGAAGGGGACTGGGGGTGCATTCAGCAGACACTGGGGAAGGCACTGGGGATGCACAGGGAACACTGGGAGGTACTGGGAGATCCGGGCTCTGCAGAAGGACGGGGCAGGGGGGGGGGGGGGGGGGGGGCACTGGGAGAGGCAGGGTAGGGGCACTGCGAGTGGACCTGTGTGAGCCCTGGGGGACAATACATTCCCGTGGGCCTCCAGTGTGGGGGGAGCTACAACAGGTGGCATGAGAGGGGGGTCTGAACCCTGTCTCCCACCTCCCCCTCACCCCTGCTGTCCCCAGGCTGGAAGATGAGACACAGAAGCGCGAGGATGCAGAGAAGACCCTGGTGCTGTTCCGCAAGGTGAGGGGGCTGGGGGGGCCTGTCCCCCTGTGCAGTGCCAATCTCCATCCTCCACAGCCTCAGGAAGGGGGGAAGATCCAAGGGGTCCCCATCCCCTCCGTGCTGCCCTGCAGCTCATCCCAGCCTCTCCCCCAGGACTTGGACCACGCCACGCTGTCCCGCCTGGAGCTGGAGCGCAGGGTCGAGCTGCTCATGGACGAGATCGGCTTCCTCAAGAAGCTGCACGAGGAGGTGGGGCCCGGGGTGGGGTGGGGGAAGCAGGCCGGGTCCGTGTGCCACGGCGTGACGGCCACGTGCCCGCGCAGGAGCTGCGGGACCTGGAGGTGAGCGCCCCGAGCCCGGCGGGGCCGGCGGAGGTGGAGGTTTGCAAACCGGAGCTGACGGCGGCGCTGCGAGAGATCCGCACCCAGTACGAGAGCATCGCCGTCAAGAACCTGCAGGAGGCCGAGGAGTGGTACAAGTCGAAGGTACCCGGGGGCTGGAGGGGGGCTCGGGAGGGGACGGGAAAGGGGGGAGTTGAGGAGCCCCAGAGCCCCAACTCCCCCGGCCCTCGCAGTTCGCCGACCTGTCGGACGCGGCCAACCGCAACCACGAGGCCCTGCGCCTGGCCAAGCAGGAGATGAACGAGTCCCGGCGGCACATCCAGAGCCTGACCTGCGAGGTGGACGGGCTGAAGGGCATGGTGAGAGCCGGGGGGGGGAGTGTCCGGGGGGTGCCCCCCCACCTCAGCCCTATGCAGCCCCTTCTCCCCCCCCCCAGAACGAGGCGCTGCAGCGGCAGATGCGGGAGATGGAGGACGAGTTCGGGGAGGAGATCGGGAACTACCAGGACGCGGTGGGGCGGCTGGAGCAGGAGATCCAGCAGATGAAGGAGGAGATGGCGCGGCACCTGCGCGAGTACCAGGACCTGCTCAACGTCAAGATGGCCCTGGACATCGAGATCGCCACGTACCGCAAGCTGCTGGAGGGCGAGGAGAGCAGGTCGGGGGGCCTGGCTTGGTGTGGGGTTTTCTTGGGAGGAGGCAGCTCCAGGCCCTGTTCCCACAGGAAAATGAGAGGTTCCCATGGGAGCTTCTCACTGCCGAGATAAAGGCAAGGCCAGGGGCTGGTGTGATGGTGGGGGAGCTGCCTCCAGCTCCGCTCCCGGTGCCAGCCTGGCAGCCCATGGGCACAGCCCCCAGCTGAGCTGGGATGAAGGTCATGGACTCGAGTGCGTGGAAGGGTTGGGGTCACTGGCAATGCCCAGGAGCCCCAGACCCCCCTCACCCTCTCTCTCCCCCCAGGATCACTGTCCCCCTGCACCCAACCACCTCCTTCAGCGTGAGAAGCTCAGGTGAGGGGTGAGCCAGGGGTCCCTCATTAGGTCTGGGGTCTCTCCTTGGGGGCAGAGACCCTACAGGGATGTGGGTGGGTCCCTGTGCCCCAGCTCAGGGTGCCCGGGGGGGGGCAGAGGGGGCTGATGGCCCCTCTGTGCCCAGTGCTGGAGCCGCAGCCCGTGGAGATCCCGGCACGAAGGACGGTGCTCATCAAAACCATCGAGACCCGGGACGGGCAGGTGAGGCCTGGGGGGGGGGGGGG